CGTCTACAGTCGGTTAAGATTGAAACACCGGTTTCTAACTGCTTCATTCGAGAGCTAACTCCTCTATCGTACTCCCATAATGATTCTTAGGCCTCAATGATCGAAGACTTATACTTTCGATTTCAGGTAGCTAGGTTTCGCAGTCGTATAGAAAAACAGGACGATCTGTTATGGGGGAAACCTGTATGGTTGTCTTTGGACTGATTTTATTTCTACCCCGTACAGTGCTCTTCAGCTGTAGAAACGCATTTCTGACAGCAACAAAGCGTAATTGTACCTCATCTTTAGGTTGGCCGTTGTGCAGCATGATTGAACCCAGATATTCGATTGGCTCACCGTTTAGTTGTAAAGCATATTCAGGATGACTTGGGACTGTATCAAACGTTTACCTCTAGGCCGATCTCGGAGGTCTGTCGACTAATACAGTCAGCAATTACTTGAAGGTTGACCATGTCCTCAGCAAAAGCAACAATATGGGCCGCGAATTCGGGATCGGTGAGCCATAAGTTCGGAGAGATCTGAACTTCATGGTATCCCTACATAAAACAAATCATTACCTAGCGGCAAAGTCGAACAGCATCGGGGACAATGGGCACCTTTGTCGTATACTAGATCCTAACTCGAACGCGCGTGAATCCTCGTTGTAGATGCGGATTTGGGCACTAATGTTGAAGTAGTAGGATCTCATGACGATAAAAGTTCTAACTGGGACATCGGCCCGTACTATGTTCCACAGGGATTCACAATTTACGAAATCGAATGCGGCACGAAAATCAATAAAGCAGATAGCTGTGGATCGTTGAAACTTGCGGAGATGTTCCAAGAGGCGAGATGAAAAAGTGAATATTTGGTCAACGAAACCTACACCGGGGAGGAATCCCGTCTGGTGAGGGCGGGTGTGTGAGTGCTTCTTGTTTGAACAAAAGCTGTGCAAAACTTTGGCTGCACCTCACGTGAAAAATCCCTCTGTGGTTTTTGGACACTGATTTATTCCCCCACCACCACCACCACCACCACCACCAATTTTAATGGCAAGGTAGTAAAATCGATGTAATCCAGTCTGTTGGAAAAGTTTCACTATCCCAAAGTGCACACAGTAAGCAATGAAGCGAGTTTAAGACTGATGGATAACAATTGGCCTTTATTTACTCGGGTATCTCGTCTTCATTGAGAGAATTGCGCGGCATTAGATGATTGATGGTATCTGAGATTTAATCTACGGATGGCGAAGCACAGCTAGCTTCGCATGACGATGATGATGAGAACGCATAGGGAGGTTGGATTCGAGGTCGGTTGAGTTTCGCACGCCGAAGGATTTTTCCTTCCGCATCGAAAACGAGCTCGCCGGAGGCGTTGCAAAAGACGGCTGGGTAGTTTGTTTCTTTGCCGATGGCAAAGAGGGTCTCCGTGTTGCCCAGGTTGGCTGCTGTCTCTATTTTTGTCGTCATATCATTCCAGTAGTGGCATAAATCGTTTGTGTTGCTTCTCATCTGAGATCGCGATAAGCAGAAGAGTTAGCTAGGTGTGCCTCACTTGCCGCATTAGCCAAGTAGATCATGTGGTCAGGTATTCAGCCCTGCAGGCGAAGTGACCCTGCTCCTAGCTCGTGTAGACCAGTTTATTGTACTGATGACTTCAGCCTGGTCCACTGAGTTTCAGCCGAACCTTCTGTGTTTCCTAGTATACTGAGGGGATCGATCGACAGATGTGCAACTATTATGTCGATCCGTGCATGGGATTACTCGGTGTGCTCCAGTTGAAGCATATTTCGGCGTTTAGAGGAGACGGTCTTCCACCGAGTTGTTAGATAGAGTCTAGCTTTCGCGCGAACTAGCATATGAACAGATTCGCTTTTTTTCTGGCATTCAGCCCCATGATTGGATAAAGTCTTCAACCGAAGAAACCCACCATGAGCGGTTGAGAAGGTAATCTAATTGGTGTGCCGTTCGTTCATCGTCGAAGTACCGCTTGTTGGTAATAAACAGTCGATTATAATCGGGAGCTCAGTACTCTGTCACCGTTCTCGTAACGCTGGCCTAGTCCAAACCACCGTACGATGCGCCTCGTGGCCTCTTCTTGTGGACCAGGTCGAGCGTTCCAGTCCCCTGATATGGCAAGTAAATCCGGTTCGGGTACTTCATTAACAAGCGATTGAAGGCTGTCATAAAACTCATCCATGACGATTTTATCAGAAGAGAAATTCGGGGCGTAGATGGGGATTACAGAGAGATTAGCTGGATGAACTTTAAAACGCATTACTGTGATCCTAGAGGATGCCAGTTTCCAGGAAAGTAAAGCATTATTAGCCCGATAGCTAAAGGTATGACCCACACCGTGTTGACCTGGCCTTTCATTGCCGCTGTGATACAGCCAATATTGACTATCAATACCAAGAATGTGATACTTTTGAAGACGGAAACCGCTAACCAGACTTCAGACGTTCAGCTGATACTCGTGCAGTGCACGTATCGTGAGCGCCTGACTCCCGAAATCTAAGAGTGTTCCACAGTCCCAGCATATAATGCAAACTATTTTTCGTGATTTAAGGTGCGCATATTCGTCACTCGAGCCACTGGTGAAGCACAGGGCATGTTGCTTCCTAGGAACGCCGTAGCATGATTAGCGTGACAAGTTGAGTGATTATCCGTGAAATTTCTTGGGATTTAGGTTCGGGAAATGTCCACAGTATCACCCGGCTTTAGGTGGAAGTGGCATCTTTAGTCTTGGCACATTCAAGTACTAATTGCAAGGCAGAAGGAGTATAGTGCTTGTTTGCCAGTGGCAATCTGGGGGATCATACATCATTGAGTTTCTAGCTGAACAGGGGTCCATACATCTCCGGTGACTACACAGTCATTGTCTTGCTCGCTGAGTAGTACGAGCGACTTCGTACGCCCAACTCGCTGGTGCCGCATTCGTACGTTAGATAGGGAGTTGAGCTCCCGGTTACTCTCAACAAGGTTGCGCCTGCCTNCCTTTCGAGCGTGCGCCGGGGTATGGCCGCGGCTGCATTCCGGTAGCATCATGGAGTCACAAATGAGAGCTAAGTGCCCGGTTCAGATCAAAGGGATCGACAGCCCTCTATACTCATGCCGAGTACCCCATATGCTAGTCTTGTACAAAGAACTTAAATTTCGATGCAGAAAAGGTTATACCAAACTGTTTGATAGAAAACTCTAACTTACACAGGACGTTTGGAGGGTCTCGGTAGGAGTCAGACAGTATAAGGATATTGTCTGCACGTTTCAAGTCACGAAGTCGATCACCCGGGGGAGGCTCTATACCGGAAGCCCTGCAGTTTTCTACAACGCTGCTTAGGAGTTTGTCCATTGCACAATTAAGGAAGGAAGGTGGGGCCAGGCACTTTTGTCGGACTCCGCTTGTGAGGGTAAATAAAAGGGGAGACGCAATCGTAGATCTTGACGCGGCCTGATGGTTTTGAGAAGACGGCCTTGATAAGGTTTACGTAATTCTAAAACACATCGCTTCCTAACAGACAAGTTCAGATAACTGCCCTGTCAACTGAGTAAAACGCAACGTACATGTACAAAACGACAATAATTGTTGGTCTACTCAACGTTTAACGTTACTTGAGAAGCTGGTGTAGCATACATATATGATCGACACAGTTCCGTCGGGAGCGGAATCCAGCTTTTTCTTCGCGGATATGACGTTCGTTAATCCAACTCAGGCTGCGAAGGAGCAACGGTGTAATCACCCTGGATGCAACGGAAACAAGACTAATCACTCAATGATTAAAGCAATCGTGGTGTGGCCCTTTTTGAAAAAAGAAACTTCTACTAAACTCTACTCGGATGGATTGGATTCAGTATTCAAGATATTTTGGAATAAGGAAGTTGGTTCTTGGACAAGACTTGCACCACCGTCTTTGAAAAGGGTCAGAAGGAGCTCATGTTGGCTGAGCGGTTAGTGACAATTCATAACTCTTAGCTCCCGGAGGACTTCCTCCTCGATAGGCGGTGAAATGTCAACAGACCATGGAGCACTGCGTACATCAGGAGACATAGCTGGTGAATTCAATGATCAAATGAATTGT